CTGTCTTCCCAGAAATCTGGGGAGATTGATGCCACAGACTCCCCATTCTAGAAAGTTCCTGGAAAAAGGCTGTCTCTCTGGGTGTGTTCACCCAGGTCTCTGAGCCCTGGGCTTGACAAGCTTGGGCAGGGACCGAGAGGTTGGGAGAGACCTATCTGTGTTGGACCTATCTGTCTCCACCTGGCAGGGATCCTGGTGAAACCTAAGTCTGGGGCATACAATTTAGCAATAAAAAATAACGAACTATTTATCCATGCAACAATATGGATGACTCTCAAGGATATTAGGTCTGAGTAAAAGAAAACAGATGCAAAGGAATACATACTGTGTAATTCCATTTATATAAAGTTCTAGAATAGATTAACCTAATCTGTGGTTTAAAAACAAAATCAGAACAGGGGTTGCTTCTGGGGAGTTAGGGCTGGGGAATTTTCTGGGGTGACAGTGATGTTCTGTATTTGATAAGGGTTTGCCATATGCAGATGGATGCATTTGTTAAAATTCAATGAATGGTACAGTTAACACTTGTGCATTTCACTATATGGATATTTTATCTCAAAAAGAGAAAAAAACCCTGTAAGTAAATACTGGACTCTGGTTAACAATGTGCATGCTTAAGGGTTTAGAGGGATGTGTACTATTGTCCACAACTTATTATTTTTTTTTTTTAAAGATGACCGGTAAGGGGACCTTAACCCTTGGCTTGGTGTTGTCAGCACCACACTCAGCCAGTGAGCAAACTGGCCATCCCTATATAGGATCAGAACCCATGGCCTTGGTGTTATCAGCACCGCACTCTCCCGAGTGAGCCACAGGCCCGGCCCTTGTCCACAACTTATTTTGAAATGTATCAAGAAAATAAGACGGATGGATGTGGATATGTGATAAACAAATACAGCAGAATGCTGTAGGACCTAGGTGGAGGCATATGTGTATTACCTATACAATTCTTTCAACTATTGCATTCTTCCAATTCATTTAAAATCTTTTTCGTATGTTTAAAAACCTTTTAGAATAAAACATTAGGGGAAAAAGCCCTAAATCATGTCACTCTTCTGCTCAGATCCCCTCAATAGATCTTCATTGTACCCAGACTAAAGGCCAAAGTCCTGACTATGGCCTCCAAGCAGGATGGCCATACATACTGGGTGTACCACCTTTCACCTGTTATCTGGGCATGATTATTAATACCTCTTCTTTTGTTCTCTAAAGTGTCCCAGTTTGAATGGCAGAGTATGCGCTTGCCCTGCCTGTGGGCCCACCTGACCTTCACTCCCTTCCCACCGTTCCCTGGCTCCCTGCTCCCTCCAGCCACACCCATCTGCTGCACTGGCTGTTCCCTCTGCCTGGAATGCTCTTCCCCCAGATATTCACATGGCTCGCTCTCTCACCTTCTTCAAGCTTTTCCTCAAATGTCTCCTCAGTGAGGCCAGCCCTGACCTCCCTATTGAAAATTGCAACATGCTCTCTCCTCATCTCCCTTACTCGGGCTTATTTTTCCAAAATACTTATAACTTCTTACATATAACATCATTGACTGAAGGTAAGCTCTGTGAGGGCAGGGATTTTTTTCTATTTTGTTTGTGCCGTATCCCCAGGGTCTAGAACAGTGCCCAGCAAACAGTAAGTGGACAACAAATACACGTCACTATGAATACAGGAATTCCTCTGCCCTCATGATGATGAAGACTGAAGGGGACACAGACATTCCATGAAATGGCACAGGAGAGGCAGGGGGCATGAAGGAAAGGAGAGAAGACACCACCGGAAGCTAAGGTTGAGCAACAAGAAGGCCTCAGCCAGGCGATGAGGGGACAAGAAGGGCACTCCTGGCAGAGCAAACAGTGAGAGCCAAGCCGGGGAGTTGAGAAGGAACACAAGCACTTGGGGTGACTATGCGCAGTGGGTGGGGGGAGCCGTGGGGGGAGTGGCAGAGGCACACCATCAGCAGGCAATAAGGAGAACTGGAGGGGTGTAACCAGGGGCAGCATCAGGGACGGATTTGGGTTTCTGCAAGACTGCCCAGCTGCTGGGTGGGGCATGCAGTGGAGGTGGGCAAGAGAAGAAGGGAGCCTCACAGGGAGGCTGCTAAAATAATTTTGGTGGCACCTTGTAAACCAGTGTGGTGCTGAAGAAAAGAGCAGACTGGAGAATTACTTAGGACAGAGGCTTAGGATATGGTGACTCATGGAAGTTGATGCTGATTCCTGGGTGTTCCCATCTTGGCCAACTCCTGGGATTGTGGGGCCATTTATGGGCACAGAAGATGATGGGATTGGGTCAGGGAGAAGATGAGGTTGAGGGTCTGTGGTACATCCCCATGGAGATGCTGCACAGCCACTTGGCACTGAGTCTGGAGGTACGGGCAGAATGTGGAGGCAGAGAATTAGAAGCCACATATTCAAAACATAGGTAGGACCCGGCAGGGAGAGTGTTTACTGAGAGGAGTTAGGCCAGGGCAAGAGACATTTAAGGGATCAGAAAGAGGAGAGAGAGACCAAGGATGGACGGGGCACAGAAGGGAGGAGAATGTCAGGGTGGGGCACTGGAGGCCAGGGCCCAAGAGCCACGGGTGGAAAAATTTCCAAAAAGAGAGTGTAGACATTGGGAGGGTGGGGAGGGCACTGCAAGGTGATGAACTGGGGGCCTGGCTGTGGAATAGAAGGTTTTTAAATGAGGTCAGAAAGTGAGCCACAGAGGGGGGGAGGGGCAGGCCTGGGCTTGGGGATAGTTGCTTGTGGCCTGTGACCAAGAGAGGGACAGGAATGGGGGAAGACTCAAACTTTAGCCTCTCAAGGCTTCTCAGAAATGGACACCCCATTCAGGGCCAGGATTCTCCTCCCCACCCCACTGACAGGCAAGTCTCTGGCCTCTATCCCCCACACCCTAAGTATCCTCATCTATAAAATGGGGTAGTGGGGGGGAAATTGCCATTTATTGAGCACTTATTATGTGCCAAGGCAAGGGCTCTCTCTCCATACATTGCCTCATTTAATCCTCACAATAGTCCCACCAGGCTGAAGTTACTATTATCCCCATTTTACAGAAGAGAAAACTGGCACAGAAGAGTTAAGTCACTTGCTCAAGGTCACACAGCAAATGAATGCAGATACTGAGATTCAAACCCGGAACCTGAATTCTGGACCTTAACACTGTATCACTAACCCGTACAAGGCACTTTACAGTGTACAAAACACACTCATCACTTCATGGGGTGGTTGAGGGGAGTAATGAGATGACCCACACATCCAGAACATAGCTGAGATCACCACATGTGGTGGGCTGAATAATGTCTCCAAAGATGTCCACATCCTAATCCCCAGAACCTGTGAATCTGTTACTTTACATGGCAAATGGGAATTTGCAGATGTGATTAAGAATCTTGAGATGGGAAGATACTCCTGGATTATTTATGTGGCCCAATGTAATCACAAGGGTCCTTATAAGATGGAGGGAGGAGAGTTGGAGAAGGAGACGTGACAGAAGCAGAAAGAGAGAGATTGGAAGATGCTACGCTGCTGGATTTGAAGGTGGAAGGAGGGGCCACAAGCCAAAAGATGCAGGTTGCCTCTAGAAGCTGGAAAATGCAAGGAGACAGATTTCCCTACAGCCTCTAGAAGGAACCAGCCCTGCTAACACCTGGACTTCAGATCAATGAGACTAATTTTGGAATTCTGACCTCTGGAACTGTAAGATAATAAATTTATGTGGCTCTAAGCCACTAAGTTTGTGGTAATTTATTATGGCAGTAATAGGAAACAAATCTGTCACTGCACACCTGGCTCCCCTGGCCAGCCCTGGCTCCACTATTACTGCCACAGCTGCTGTCAGGAAACACCCTTACATGTTTTTGTGGTGGTTGTTCTTTTTTATTTGTTACCCTTGTATTTTTTAATGGTTCTTTAAAGTTCCAATTTGGTCCTCTCTGAACCTGTCTTTTCCTTTGTTAAAAATAAAAATAGGACTAGTACACCTGACCCTGCCTCTCTTACAGGCACAGAATGAGGAGATCTTATATTATTTGAGGATTCCCACAAACCACTGGGGCAGGTGAGGCCTAGTTATTGTCCCCATTGCTCAGATAAACTAAGGCTCAGAGAGTAGAAACAGCTTGCCTAGAGCCATACAGATAGTGAGTAACACTGCCAGGACTTCAACCAGGGCTTCTGACTTTAGATCTACCACACTGAGGTTCATGTCTCAGAGCCCAGCTCACATGCAACCAACTCAGAGAAGCCTTCCTGGATAACCTCAGCCCATTCATTTATTTGTGAAGCAGTTGCTATGACTGCTCTGTTCCTAGGGTTGTCCTAGGCATGGCTGGGGACCCAGTTCTGTCTTCAGGAGCCCACAACCTAGTGGAACAAGACACGCATACAAACCAATAATCTAAACAGCCTGATAAATGCTGAACAAAGGAAAGGAAGTTCAAGGGGTTGTAGGAGCTCAAAAAGGGGAAAACTGACTACTGAGCCTGAGTCAGGGAAAGCTTCTTGGAGGAGGTGGTGATTGAATTGGGGACCAGAAAGACTCAACCAAAAGTCTGGGCCAGGGTTGCCAGGTGGAGGAACGGCTGGGCAAAGGCAGGAAGCCACGATGCTGTAGTTTCTTGGGGGACAGCAAAGGGGTTGGGTCATCCCAGGCCCCTAAGTTCCTCTGGGCCTCTGTGTTCCTGTGTATGAAATGGGAATCATGGGCCCAGCTGCCCAGAGCTTTGTTAATTGTTCAGGCAAGGGCTGAGCAAGAATAAGAGGGGTCCTGGGATTCCCAAAGGAGGAAGGTGAAGGTCAGGGAAGGTCAAAGGTAAGGGGGATAGCACAGGGTGGGTATGTTGGAGGGCAGAGTCCTGGCTCAAGCCCCCACCACACATCTGACTCATGGCTTGACTTTAGGAAGGTCCTCTCAAAACCTCAGTGACCCCATCTGAGAAATGGAGCATGAGACAAAACTGTCTCCAAAGACCCTCCCCAGCCCTGACGGGGAAATGACATGACACAAAATTACAAAAGGGTCTTTATTTGTAAAAAGCCAAAGGAGCCCCTGGGGCAACAGGACAGGCAGGCCGGCTTCTCAGGGATCGGGGGCATTTGGGCAGATGCGCTTGAGTGGGGGGGCGCCCTCCGAGTCCTCTGTGTCACCCTGGGCTGCCTCAGGGACAGGTGGCACTGGCTCAAAGACGGGGTAAGCTTCGGGGGCCTGGAGAGGAAGGGCGGACAGGCATGAGCTCCACCCAAACCCAGGAGTACAGCCTCCTAGCCTTTGCCTTCTCCAAAGCCTCCACTCCACTCCCGTCCCGGACCCAGGAGTTTAGCCCAGGGCCAGGTGCCCAAGATGCAGATTTAGTAGGGCACCGAAAACAACAGCAGCAGCAACACTGTTTGAGGGAAAGAATCTGATACAGATATTTCTGAAAAATGCACCAAGGTAGCCCTTGTGAGAAAAGTGAGAAGTTTATGAGGAACTTTCTTAAGCTAATTTTACAGCTTAGGATATAGTTTTTTAAAGGCATGGAGGAGCACCATGATCTTCTCAGACTTTTAATGGTCTTAAATTAGCGCTGACCAGCTCTCAGGACTTTATGTCTAAAACACCCTTTCTTTTTCAGTCCCAAGAACCCAGCCTCAAAGGCTTTAGCTGCATCTCCCGCCTGTACCTCAGGATGCAGCCTCCAAGCCTTCAGCTGCCCCGGAGTTCCCATTCCCTCCAAAACCCTAACCCAGCCTTCTGGCCTCTCTCACCTCAGCCTCCAGCAATTCTGGAACAGGCTCCTCCTTGGTCAGCATTGGGGGTTCATCAGTGCCGCCTGTAGTTATGCCCCCAGGATCTGGAATGTCAAGTGAACAGATATGCTCTGAACAGCCACTCTGTGCCAGTGGCATGGAGAATGGGGGAGACAAATGAGCGCCAATCACATAAGCCAGAGGTCAGTGGCAGCAGTGAGGAGGGAGGCGGGAGTCCGGCTGCAATCCAGGAGGCAGATGGAGGAAGGAGCACTTATGTGGGCTGTTGAAGGGTGAGTAGGGTTTTACAGGGTAGACAAACGGAGGCAGAACACATTTTAGGCAGAGGGAACACATGCTTAGCACAGATTCTGTGGTTGGACTGCCTGGGTTCAAATCCTGACTTTGGGCAAGCTGCTTAATTTCTCTGGGCCTCGGTTTACCCATATGTAAAATGGAGATAATGATAGTAATTGCCACATGAGGCTGTTGGGAAGATTAAATGAGATAATACAGGTAAAGCCCTTAGCGTCTGGTGTACAGTAAGTGCTCAATAAATGCTAGTTATCATTTTTATATTAACAGACGTATACAAGTGCTGGCATGATCTAGACTAAGCCCATAGGCCCAAGTCATGGTGTTCTTGGCAGAGAACAATGAGGTCAGCAGGGAACAGTTCATGAAGTCCCCGACTGCCAAGCTGAGGAGTCAAAGGCCATTGGGAGCCATTGAGGATTTTAAGCAGGAAAATGACCCCATCAAACTTGCACTTTAGAAAAAGTTGTTCTGGCATCTGTGTGGAGGTGACTGGAGGAGACCAGTGAGGAGGCTAGAGCCGCGTGCAGGCGAGAGATGGGAAGGCCAGATCCAGGCCAGGGCCTAGGGGGGCAGGGGAAGGGAAACACATTTGGGAGGAGGTACTGACCAGACAGGGACAGACTGTATGGAAGAAAGAAGAGCTGAGGAGGCCTCATGCCCAGGATGCTGGCTCACTGGCTGTGTGAGCTTGGGTGACTTAACTTCTCTGGGTCCCACTTTCCTCATCATAAGATGAGGATCATAGAGATCACAACAGGATCATAACCCTCATAAGGCTGTAGTGAGGATTAAATGAGAAAAAAATGTAACGTGCTTAGAATGTGCCTCGCACACAGTAAGAGCTCAATAAATATTAGCTGTTATCCGTATTATTCCTAATTACTCCTACGATTATCACTATTATTTACTCACTCAACAAATATTTATTGAGCACTTATTATGTGTTCCATGGTATTCTGAGGATACAGTAGTGAACAAGATCCATATCGGCCCAACATTCAGGAAGCTGATATGAGATGAGAGTGCGGAGAAAAACAATAAACTAGTAAAAAATTAAATTTACATGGAAATCTCAGATGGTGATGCATTATCTACAGATCCTAAGAAGCCAGAGGAATGAGATAGCAGCTGGAGGCAGTTTTTGCAGGAAAAGGCCCCCTGAGGAGGCAGCACATAGGGGGAGCAAGAAGAGAGATAAGCTGCTGGGTTCAGCTTTGGAGAAGACAGGACTCAGAGGAGAGGGCTCCTGGGAGGCACATGGTCCTACCTCTCTCTTGGCCCAGCCGTGGGGGCTGAGCCTCCTCGGGGACCCCTTCTGGGGGTCCAGCAGGTGACACAGGGCGGCTGGGCTGGGGAGTGCCCCCAGGGCTGGGCTCAGTGCCCTTTTGCAGGGAGCCTTCCGAATGGAAACTCTGGTTGCTGTTCTCATCTGTAGAAGCAAAAGTGGAGAGGGTTGGCCTGAGGCCCCCCAGTACTTCCATCCCCCAACCCCCCAAATTCCAAGATCCCTACGTACCATTGAGATCCAGCAGGATGAGAGGACCACCCCCTCGGGGACTGGTGCCCCTGCCCCGCCGATCCCGGCCACGGGATCTCTCTGCCCCTCCACCTGCACGCCGTCGCTCCTGGGGGTCAGAGAGATAAGGATCAGGGCCAGCTTTCTAATTAGCTCTTGCAAAGCCCCCACTGAACAAATAAGGACACTGAGGCACAAAGAAGCAAGAGGCCCTGCCTGAGGTGACAGAGGTTGTGCACTGGTGGGTCTGGAGAAGGAAAAGGAAAGAGAGGAGTTGCTAATAATCATAAACATCTGTCCGGGCTGCTGCATTTGAGGTCTCAGAGTGGGGACTGGAGGTAGAGACCAGGGTGGGGAGGGGCTTGCCTGAGGTTGCATGGATGCAGGGCCTTGGGGGCAGGGTCTTGCTCACCTCCTCCTGGGGGTCCACCACTGGCACCCACTTGAAGATACGAAGGGAAGTGTCGCCCACAGTCACCCAGCGCTTCTCCCTGTGGGAGGGGGGGGTTGGGTCAGAGAGGCCTGAGGAGAGAACCCCCCCAGAAGCTGGGCACATCTGGGGGTACCTGCAGAGGTGCGAGAGGTATACGAGGATAGGGACAGTTTTGCTAATGGGTAATAGTTAGAGAAAGAAAGCCCTGAAAACCTTCTCTAGAAAGGGTATGACTTGGGGCCATGGCTCTGAAGAGCCCTGGGGCAGGCATAGGGGGCACGGCTGTCGGCCTGGCTAGGGACCAAAGCAATGAAGATCCCCGGGCACACTTGCAGGAGTGTCAAAAGGTTTGGGGGGCGGGGCACAAATGGGGGCTCCCGCTCTGGGAGGGCACGGCTGGGGAACACGCTTTGTAGACCCCAGGAGTGACCACGGGAAAGGGGACAGAGCCCGGTCGATCCGGAGCACAGCTGGTGGGCGGGGGCACACCTAACATCTGGGGGCCATAGCTGGAGAGGGCAGGGTAGACGCATTTGGTGATGGTGGTCCCGTCCACCATGTCCCGTCCCTGGCCCCGGGACAGCGCTCACCATCTCCGGACCTTCTCGATGGTCGCCATCACCTTTTTGATGTCATCCTTGGCCCGGCTCCGGGTCTCAGCCCGTACGGTCCGGCCGGCCATGCTGGCGGGGCTGGGGCCGGGGCCGAGCCCGCGGGCGGGGGGCCCGC